GGAACACGTTCTTTGCCTGTGACAGGTCTGCCTCTAACTTATTTCTAAACTTTAAACTCCTTCCTTGGGGCTGGAGAGATGGCTCAGTGGTTAAGAACACTGACTGGTCTTGCAGAAGACCTGGGTTCGAATCCCAGCACCCACATGGCAGCTAACAACTGTCTGTAATTCCAGTCCCAGGGGATCCGACAGCCTCTCCTGTCCTCTGTGGGCATTGCAGGACATGGGTGCACTTACCTACATGCAGGCAATACATGCATACACATAAAATAAATCTAATTTAATGTAGAATATGCTGCAGGCCCATTCACCCTATTTTTCATAGCTGGATATACCAACATTATTATAATAAATGCCCTATCAGCCATTATTTTCCTTGGAACTCTTTCCAACCCAACTACCCCAGAACTATTTACACTTAACTTCATACTTAAAACCCTCTCTCTAACAACCCTATTTTTATGAATTCGAGCATCCCACGATTTCGCGATGACCAACTCATACACCTTCTCTGAAAAAACTTCCTACCTCTAACCTTAGCATTCTGTATATGATATATCTCAATACCAATCACCCTAGCAAGCATCCCCCCTTATAGAGAGAAACATGTCTGACAATAGAGTTACTTTGATAGAGTAAAAAATAGAGGTTTGAATCCCCTTGTTTCTAGAACTTTAGGCATTGAACCTGAACCTAAAATTTCAAAAATCTCCATGCTACCATTATACCAAGTCCTAAACTCTCTTAGTGTGGTCAGCTAATTAAAGCTATTGGGCCCATAGCCTGAAAATGTTGGTTTTAACCCTTCCCATACTAATTAACATCCTGGTGTTAACCATCACCCTACTCACAATCTTCATCGGATCCGTTATCACAAACTTAGCACCCACCTAATTCTTATATGAGCTAGCCTAGAAACAAGCATGCTAGCCATTATCCCTGCACTCATATTCAACTCTAATCCCCACTCTACAGAGGCAGCCACCAAGTACTTTTTAATCCAAGCAACTGCCTCCATAATTCTACTTCTAGCTATCATTCTAAATTACCACAACCTAAGGATCTGACGATTTCACTGTAACACATAATACTATGTCTGCTCACTTATTTTAATTGTCCTAATAATAAAACTAGGCCTAGCCCCATTCCACTTCTGAGTCCCTGAAGTAATCCAAGGCATCCCAATTCTCAGTGGCCTTCTACTTCTCACATGACAAAAAGTTGCCCCTCTGGCTATCATATTTCACATCCCTTATTCTTTAAATTCCACCGTAATCCCCCTATTAGCTATCACATCAGTATTTATTGGGGGTTGAGGAGGCTTAAACCAAACATAACTACGAAAGATTCTCACCTATTCCTCCATTGCCCATATAGATAATGGGGATTTATTTCATATTTTTGTAAATGAGGCGATGGATGTGGAGGCATTTATGTAGACTGTAATAAATATAGATGTAGTTAGGAATATAATTTTATTCATCATTTTTATTTTATGTGTATGCGTGTATTGCCTGCATGTAGGTAAGTGCACCAGTGTCGTGTAATGCCCACGGACGTCGGAAGAGGCCATTGGGTCCCCTGGGACTGGAGTTATGGACAGTTGTTAGCTGCCATGTGGGTGCTGGGATTCAAACCGGGTCTTCTGCAAGAACAACCAGTGTTCTTAACTGCTGAGCCATCTCTTCAACCCCATAAATAATATATTAAAAAAAACCCTCCTTCCTTTTTCTGCCCTCCTAAATCTTAACATATGCAGTAATTTCTCCCAGTTTAGGCCAGTTTGAAACTGGTTGATGCAGTCTGTAGTTGACAGCATACTAATTGGAAACTGCAGAATAAACTTAAAAACTCAATTTACAGCCAGGTATGGTGGTACACAACTTTAGTCCCAGCACTCTGGAGGTAGAGGCAGGCGGATCTCTGTGAGTTAGAGTCAGTCTGGTCTACATAGTGAGTTCCAAGACAGCTGGAGCTACAGGGAGACTGTCTCAAAAAAAAAAAAAAAAAAACAAACCTCAATTTACGGAAAGAGTCCACACGCATGGATATATATAACCTAACAATACACCCAAAATAGTATGTAAATCATTTTAAATTCCAATGAAAAAAATCCAGAAAGATTAATGTGCATGCATGTGTGGAGCCCAATGACCTGACAGGACTGCAAAATGAAAGTGCAAGAATACATGTGGGGCTGGAGAGATGGCTCAGTGGTTAAGAGCACTGGCTGCTCTTGCAGAGGACCCTGGTTTGATTCCCAGCACCCACATGGCAACTAACAACAGTCTGTAACTCCAGTTTCAGGGAAATCCAATGTCTTCTTCTGACCTCTGCGAGTATTGCATGACACATATGCACTTACTGCACACATACAGGCAATACACTCATAAACTTAAAAATAATAAAATATTTTTTAAAAAAAGAATAAGTAGGGGCTGGAGAGATGGCTCAGCAGTTAAGAACACTGTTTGTTCTTGCTGAAGACCCGGATTCAAATCCCAGCACCCACATGGCAGCTAACGACTGTCTGTAACTCCAGTCCCAGGGGATCTGACAGCCTCTTCTGACCTCATCGGGCATTGCGCAACACGGGTGCACTTACCTACATACAGGCAATACATGAATACACATAAAATTAAAAAAAGAAGAAGAATAAATAAGGGGCTGGAGAGATGGCTCAGCAGTTAAGAGCACTGACTGCTCTTGCAGAGGACCTGGGTTCCATTCCCAACGCCAACCAGCCACGTCTGAAGATTCAGTTACTGAAAGAACTCAACATTTTGCTACGTAGTTTTTCATTGCTGTGGTCAAAGAAATGAGGATATTTTAAACATTTGTGATGTGACCATTTTCTCCTTGGAACTATTTTGATTGGTTACAAGTAGTATTTTGTATTTCTTAGGGTTTTGTTGTTGTTCTCAGATCCGGTCTTATGTATTCCATGCTGGCCTTGAACTGGCTGTGTAGCCAGAGATGACCGTGAGTTCTGATCCTCAGTGTGAAAACTACAGGCCTGTACCACCATGCCCAGTTTTAGTATTTCTTAGTTTTGTAACCTTGCTTCTCTTTTACGGTTTCTATCCTTTATTTAATTTTATGTGCTTTTTATAGATCTTTATTGTTCTTTGAGCTAATTTGTTCACCTGGACCTAGAAAACTTCTGTCAAGTTGGAGGAAGAGTCATCTGTAAGAACACCACGGAGCCCTGGTTAAGATGCACAGCTAGGAAGGCTCATCTTAAATCTCACCTAGAAAGGGCTGCTGGGCCCCAGCACCAGGTGGCCCCTCACCATCTCTTCTGCTCTGTGGCTGCTGCTGAGGCATCAGCTCTTGCTGTCCTTACCTCCATTTGTAGATCTTTAGTATTTCGCTGAATTCTTTTTAATGCTTTATTTGTTAAACAGCAGTGTAAGTAAAGAAATCAACTGGAAACAACTGGATGTTGCACTTGGAACCCAATTCAGACAGCTGAGAACTTTCTAGAACTCTGTGTGTGTGTGTGTGTGTGTGTGTGTGTGTGTGTGTGTACGTGTTGCTGGGTCTCATACAGGAAAGACAAGCACTCTATCAACTGAGTCACATCCATAGCCTCTTTCTAGATTTTTTTTTTTCTTTTTGAGATAGTCTTACTATGTAGCCCTGGCTAGCCTGGAATTCTCTACATAGACTGGACTGTCCTCAAAGTCACAGAGATCTGCCAGCCTCTGCTTCCTGAGTATTGGGATTAAAGGCATGTGCCACCATGCCCCACCTCTTTCTTGAATTTAAAAAAATATATTTTATTTATTATTATTATTATTATTATTATTATTATTATTATTATTATTATTATTTTGGTCTTTTCTGCCTGCCTCTGCCTCCCGAATGCTGGGATTAAAGGCGTGCGCCACCACGCCTGGCTATTTTTTATTTTTTTATCTGTATGTGTGTATTGCCTGCATGTAGGTAAATGCATCCGTGTTGTGCAGTGCCCGAGGCGGGCAGATGAGACTGTCGGATCCCCTGGAACTGGAGTTATGGACAGTTGTTAGCTGCCATGTGGGTGCTGGGATTCGAACCAGCGTCTTCTGCATTCAGTGTTTTTAACTGCTGAGCCATCTCTCCAGCCCCTTTCTTGAATTTTGACTGGAATTCCTCTGCCTTTTAGGCTTGAGCCAGTAGCATCTTCACAAAACACTCTTTGCTCCAACTGCCAGATACTGCCTGCCAGGCTCCTGGCTTTGTTCTTTCCAGTCCAGTGAGACAAGAACCAGTAGCAGTCTTGAGGGTCATCTTTTAAACTGCTTTCTGAGAACTCTGCTGTGGGAGCACAAAGCTTCCTTGGCAGTTGAGCCCCTGCTCAGGAGATGCATGTTCTGCTGGGTCTGGCCTCAAGGAGAAGGCCAATCTGGAGGTAGTTCTAGCTTCTCTTCTTCCTGGGGACACTAGCCACTTTCCACTATCTCCTGGCCCTCAGGGTGCAGCTGACACCCTAGGTTGCTGTGAGAGCTAAAGGGGCTCTACAGCCTCCAAGTCTGGGCTGGTTTGGGGCTCTCCTCCAGAAACTCCTTCCTTTACCAGAGGTTAGAGAGCACACTGGATTATCAGGTACAGAATTTCCTGTGACTACCCTGACCAAGACCCCAGCCTTCAGTCTGTCATGTCACTCACAGGTGGCAGTGCCCTCTAGGAGTGAGAAGTACATGTACAGAATCTGGTCCCACTGTTGGCTGTTCAAACTGGGAGTCAAAGACTGCAGGATACTTGGAGGGTAGGACACCTGGGACCCATCCATGAGGCCTCCTACCTCTAGAGCCTCCCCTCTGTACCCTCCAAGGAGCCCATATCTGAGCAAATGTCTCTGAAACCATGCTATGGTAGCCTTTACCCTCCAAGGGTTGGGGGAGGGGTGCAGAGTGCTGAGGGTAGGGGAAGCCTGCAGCAGCTAATCTCCAGGCCCAGGAGTCCTCATCCCTCCCTCTCCTGCAGTTCCTGCTTATCCTAGGCCAGGCTCTCACCTGAGGGAGTCCAGACAGCTGTGGTTCAGCTTCAATTGAATCAGGTTAGGGAGGTGCACTCCTGTGAGCCACAGGAAGGAAAGGTTGGCATGGCTCCCACAACCCTGCCCATTGCTTCACAGTGTTCTTCATGCTCTCCACACCCCCACTAGACATCAGTATCCAGGGGGCTGTTCACAGGCCCATGGCCTCTTCTAGTGGGCCTGACTCTGTGGGGCCTCAGAGCTTCATATGCCCTTCCACCCATGTACAGCATGGTACAGGTGAAATAGGTGCAGAAGGTACATACACGGGCAAGGAATTGACTCTGAGAGGGGAGCTGAGCTGATATGGGTGGGGTGGGTCCCTGAGTATCTCCCCTTACCTGCTCACAAGTCCAGTACTCCCTTGGTGGTCTTTTCAACATGGGATACTAGATAACAAATCTCTGGAATTCCCCTCCACTGTCCTGCAAAGCCCAAAGCTCTAGAAAACCTCTACTTTAAAAGCTTTTTCGGATGAGACACTGGCCTTGTGAGGCAGAGCTCCAGAATATGAAAAGAAGGGTTCAGGGTGACTGTGCAGTATAGCCACTGCAAACTACCCTTGGTGACATGGCCCAAAGAAAGCAGGTAGCCTCTGAGCTCATAAAAGCACAGAGCAGCTTCACGGAGCTGTCAAGGGCTTAACTGCAAAACCCCAAACCAAGGCAAACAAAATGGAGAGTGTTTAATCTCATTTGTAATCAGAGAAAGGCAAATAAAACGCACCACCATCCTGGACAGCAAGAATCTTTCCTCTTGGAATGGTTGATGAAATTTGAATCAAGTCCATGGTCTAGACAAGAGTGCTGTTATCAGTATTCTTTCCTGACTCTGATCTTTATACTGAGTAAGAGTGTGTGCTCCCTCTTAGGAAGTATGCACCAAAGTATTAATGGACAAGAGGCACTGTGTGTGTGTGAGCTTGTGCAGGTGTCAGAGGGAGAGAATGATAGAGCCCTTGCGGCAATCATGGATGGGGATGCTGGGGAAGGGTACACAGGGGATCTATGCAGTATTCCTGCACTGTGTCTGCAAATTCCAAATCATTTCAAAAGAAGCTGCGGGAGCACCTGTAACTGGGGCATAGCACCTTTGCTATTTTGCTGTACTGGCACAGGTGTTTGGGTGTGGGCCTGTGGAGAATCATTTGGGAATATGAAACACAGGCTATAAAACCTCTTCCTGAGCTGTGTATGCATCTCAATTCTAAGGATCAATCCTAAGGAAAGAGAAGTGCTGTCCAAGGTGTTTGCTAGCTTTTCATTTATAACCAGAAAAATACAATTACTTCATGGAGAAGTCTGGCTGTGACAGTCACAGGGGCATGGGTGTAACTGGCGGCTCTCACCGAAGTTCCCCAGGCTGTTCTTACGGGTGTCCACACACATCTCCAGCACCCTCACCAGTTGGAGGTCATCTACCTGGGCCAGGGCCTGCTGCAGAAATCATCAGGTGTCACTCCCAGTTTCCTCCATGCTTTTGGCTGAGGACTCTGTAAGGTGCCACTGGAGCAGGTGACAAGTGATTCCCCTGCCCCATCCATGTTCATCTTGGCCATAACAGTTTGGCTGGTGGGCATGACGTCAACAGAGGTTGTAACTGCTTGACTGTCAGAGGGTTGGGACACTGCTAGAGAAGGGCCTGCCCTTGGGGTGCCAGTCTTTGGATGAAACCTTTCAGAACAGACCCAGTAATACAGCTGGAGCCCAGAGCCCCACTGGGCAGCACCCATAGACAGCATACTTGGACCAGTGGATACACAAGTACATTTATACTGGAAGTCAGGGGGTAAGGGACTTACTGGCCTATCTGTTCTCAAGGATGTGCTAGACAAGACTGTCTTCTTGTGTATGGAATTCAGGTGTGATCTTCCAGGGCCCTAGGCTACAAGTGCTGTGAGATTAGTGGAAACCTTGGAGAGCACATGCAGATTCTGGCTGGGTGGGCAAGGTCAGTTATTTTGAGGGAGGACCTGTTTGGTGCTATAAAACTGGACCTCTCCCGACATGGTAACCAACTACAGGTGGGCGCCAAATTCTGAATGCTGGGAGCTTTAGGGTTGCCCAGGTAGATTCTGAAAAATCTTAGGACTCAGGGTTGGGGTGCACCAATGGGCTTCCACATTAGATTTGGAGGAAAGTCTTTACCTGCTGCCCATGCACAGTCAGCACACCAAGGATGGCCCCCACCTCAGGAAGTTTGGGAGGAAAAAGAGGAGTCCTGGCCCAGGAAGGGGGTCCATGGGCCATGATCAGCTGTCCCTTCCAGCATCCCACTATGCTTTCCCCCAGTCCTCCCTGCTGCAACAGTCCATGCTTGAGCAAGGGGTGCCCCCTGGGTACAGGGCGCCTCAGCCAGTAGTTATAAGATCCTGGCCCAACAGTTCTGTCTGTGATCTCAATACCTACGGATGCTTGTATCACTTGGGGTTGCTGGCAAGGGGGCTCAAAGGTTGGAAAGGTAGAGGGCACCTAGTTGACGGCAAGCCAGGTATCAACAGAAGGGGTGCTAGGATGTCACCTCATGAAGACTCCTATGGCAGAATCCCGGGCCCCAATCACTTACCAGCTGGGCAGGTGATAGGTACTCTTCCACCCGATGCTCCCTGTGGATGTCCCCATGGCTGTCCAGTTCCTTGCTTTGTGGGCAGGGGTTGTTTAGTCCCTGCTGGCTCAGCTCCCGTACTTGGACACTAGCTGTACTTGGCCGAGGTCCCTGGGATCTATCCCAGGTTGGGTCCATTCACATCCAATCTGCTGGGAAAGGCAGAGGGCAAAGTCTCCTAACTTCTGCTCCAGCAAACATCTGTGGCCCAAGTCCCCTCCTCTAGCCTCAAACTTGTGCTGACACCCTCCTTTTGTTTCTGTTTTTTGGTTCTTTTTTTAATTTTTTATTTTTATTTTATGTGTATGAGTGTATTGCCTGCATGTGTGTAAGTGCATCTGTGTCATGCAATGCCCACGGAGGTCAGAAGGTGTCGGATTCCCCCGGAACCGGAGTTACAGATGGTTGTTAGCCAACATGTGGGTGCTGGGAATCAAACCTGGGTTCTCTGCAAGAGCAGTCAATGCTCCCCAGTCCTTTTCTGTATCTTTTATTTTATTTCTTATTTTTATTTTATGTATATGAGTGTATTCCCTACATGTATGTAAGTGCACCTGTGCTGTTCAATGCCCATGGAGGTCAGAAGAGGGCATTAGATCCCCTGGAACTGGAGTTAAGGATGGTTGTTAGTCACCATGTGGGTGCTGGGAATACAACCCAGGTCCTCTGCAAGAGCAGTCAGTGCTCTTAACCACTGAGTGACCTCTCGGCCCCTGTGTGCTGGATAGCTTAAGTTGTCAACTTGACACACGTGGGTAGAAGGAGCCCTAGTTGGGAAATTGCCTCAATTAGACTGGCCTGTGGCCATGTCTGTAGGGTATTTTCTTGATTGTTGAGTGATGTGGGAGGGCCCAGCCCACTGTGGGTGGGTCTGTGTTATATAAGAAAGCAGGCTGAGCAGGGGCCAGGGGAGCAAGCCAGTAGGCAGAGCTCCTCCATGGCCTGTGCTCCAGCTCCTGCCTCCAGGTTCCTGCCCTGAGTTCCTACATTGGGCTCCCTGATGAACTGTGACCTGGGAGATATAAGCCAAATAAACACTTTCCACCCAAGTTGGTATTGGTTAGAGTGCTTTGTCACTGCAATTGACAAAAGTGGACTAGAACACCAGTTCTGTATCTTTGAAAAAGATTGATTTCACCTGGCATGGTAGTGCACACCTTTATCCCAGCTCTCGGGAGGCAGAGGCAGGCAGATCTCTGTGAATTCGAGGCCAGCTTGGTCTCCACAGTGAATCCAGGCCAGCTGTGGCTACAGGGAGACCCTGTCTCAAAAAGACCAAAAAAAAAAAAAAAAAAAAAAAAAAAGATCGATTTATCCAGTTTGTAGTATTTTAATATGTGTACGTTCTAGTATGTGTGTGCATGTGTGTGAGGAGGCCAGAGGGTTACCTTGAGTTCTGTACCTCAGGCACCATTTAATTTTTAAAAATAATTATTATTTTTGTCTTTTTTGAGACAGGGTCTCCCTATAGCCCCAGCTGGCCTGGCACTCACTATGTAGACCAGGATGGGCTTGAATTCAAAGAGATCTGCCTGCCTCTGCCTCCTCAGTGCTGGGATTAAAGGTGTGCACCACCATACCTGGCTCTAAAATTATTTTTTATTTTTTGAGGCTGGGTCTTTCATTGGCCTAGAGCTCACCAAGTAGGCAAAAGAGGACGGCCAGCAAGTCCCAGGGTTTTCCTCCCGTCTCCACCTCCCCACTGCTGGGACTACAAGCTCACACTACCTACCAAGCCTATTTTAAAAATTAACCAATTGGGGCTGGAGAGATCACTCAGCAGTTAAGAACACTGGCTGTTCTTGCAGTTGACCCGGGTTCGAATCCCAGCACCCACATGGCAGCTAACAACTGTCCGTAACTCCAGTCCCAGGGGTTCTGATAGCCTCTTCTGACCTCTGTGGGCATTGCACGACATGGGTGCACTTACCTACAATGCAGGCAATACACACATACACATAAAAGTTTTTTAATTAACTAAAATTTAAATTTTATGTGTATGTGTGTTTTGCCTGCATGTATGTAAATGTATCACATGAGTGCAATGCCTGTGGGAGGTCATAAGAAGGTGTTGGATCCCCTGGAACTGAAGTTAGGGATGGTTGTTAGCTGCCATGTGGGATCTGACACAGTCTTCTGGCCTCCCCATTGTACACACATGGTGCACTTACAAGAAGGCAAAACACTCATACACACAAAATATAAATAAATAATAAAAAACAAACAACCAAAGGCTGTGAGCCTAGGGATGCTGGCTGGGCCAGTCACCTGTAGTGACCAGCAGCAAGCTGTAGGCAGCCCCAGACTCTGACCATGGGTCCTCCTTTAGTGATGGTCTCTGAGCCTACTAGGTTCAGGGTCAGGATGGCAAACATTCCCTTGGCCCACCTCCTTCACTGACTGAGCCCCCACCTGCAGGTAGTTGCCTCCTGCTGTAGGTCGAACATCCAGGCAAGGGGGGGCACATGTGTCTACATGTGACACCTGTAAGAGAGAGTTATGTTAATCTACTGGCTAGATCACTGTGCTCTGGGGTACCTGGGCTGAGCTGCCCAAGGTCACAGTAGCTAGAAACAAGAAAGTACAGGTGTAGGTGGAGGGGTCTCTTGGGGGCAGGGGACTGTCCTGAACTCCCTGTGACCATCTTGATGGGGCATGTGACTCAGAAAAAAGAGTAAGACAGACAGGTGGTAAAACATTGGTCTCAGTGGGACTCCCAATGCAAACTAGGGGATGGTGCTCAACCAAATCCTGCTTCTTCCATTCCCAAAGGGTTCTGGACCTGCTCCTCTGAACTATCTCCTATACCCTATAGGCTCACCTCTTCTGCACCGTGCCCCTCCTGAGTTCCTTCCCAGGCCTCAGGAGGAGTTTATGGTGCCTCTACTCACCTCTGCCACAGGTTCACATGCTGTTTGTCCCCAAAGATACGGGGGTCTGCGTTTGGTCCCAGATCTTGGAATCGGGGTCTTTTGGCATAGTTTTCCTGCCCAGAACAGCATCCCTTTCTCCCTAAGTCACCTTCCTGTCCTCCATCCAGGCTCGACTGGCCAACCCCTCATTCCTGCAATTCCTACCTGTCCTTCCCAGATATGTTTCTCTAGTAAGAGGGATCGCCTTCCACGGCCCTCCATGGTTTATTACTTACTCAGTTGAGTGTGGCTTGCCTTACAAGATGCGAGCCCCATTCCTCCGCCCTGGTTCCACCAACACAAGGGAAATGGAGAAGCAGTGTGGAGCTCTCACCTGGGGGTGGGGGGATGGGCAGGAGTGCCCGATACCTGAGGCGCAGTCCTGGGCCCCTCCACCGCGGCAGTCGCTCTCTCAATTCATGCTCCCCTACCCTTACAGCGATGGGGTTGCGGCCCTGGCGCCATGGCAACGGGGGTGGGGCCTTATTTGAATACCCAAATTTTCGTGAGCCGCGGGCCTCCGGGACAACAGCAGGCAGAGCCCCGCCCCTTAGCAACGGTTGCCGTGACACACGGTAGACCCGGCAGGAGGGTTTCTTCGTTTACCGAGTGAGGGGAGTCGCCCCCGACAAGTGGAACGCAGTGAAGACGCCTGCTGGGGATTCTGGTCTGCTCTCGGTTATCCGCCTGCTAGCCGCGTCAGCCGAGCCAGGCTCACATCCCTAGCAGCACGTGCACGTGGGTCCCCAGGAAGGCGGGGCACCAAGCCGGTGCGGAGAGGCCTAGCGGGATAGGCCTCTGGGTAAAGGCCTGTAGGTTTTCTAATGAAAATGTGCTTACTCATTTCTTTGAAATTTCAAAATAATGTTGAAAACATATCATCTTCGTCTGACACTGGTGGAACTATGTGCTTGAGTGGGTGGAACACTTCACTCCCATTCCAACTTTTCAGATTTCCGGGGGGCGGTCTGCAAATGGAGCACAATGTGAGATGCTGCAGGATTGGGATCTGGAGTGTAGGGGAGCTGAGGGAGTCTGCTCATAGTGGGGGTAGTCTCCTTCAAGGCCCGAGAGAGGCTGCGCGCGGGCGCAGGGACTCGGCCAACGCTATCCTGGGATGCGGCTCTCGCTCCACCAGCGCCTAGGTGCACAGGCAGCCAGGGCTCAGGGCGGACTTCCGCCTTCGGGTCTCACGCGTCAGCGGTCGGAATGACCTTTCCGCTCGGTGGGCCCCAGGGCCTCCAGGGCTTTAGTGCGGCTGTCGGATGGGGGCTTCGTAGCAAGCTCCGCAAGTCTGCCTCGCTCGGAAGGCATCCCAGGCTCGTAGGCACAAAGTTCCCTCTCTCTCTTGCACACCTCGGAACCAATCTTCACTAGTTGACTGCAGCACTGCGGAAGCAGTCTGGGCAATGCACCGCGCGCCACTACAGGAAGTCCCGACCACTCGCGACTCCTGACGGATGGATTGCTCAGCCAACCACAACAGGACGCTGTGAGGCGGCGCGCGACCAATCACCCGCCGCTTCGAGTTGACCGACGGACGCGGGGCGTAGCGGGGCGGGGCGAGCGCAGGCCCCG